AGTATCAGACAAGCCTTTGTTCTCATCTCTTGAATATGGTTGTATCCTTATCCCCTGGGCTAGAAGAAAAGAGAATCAAGCAAAAGCTGAGTTAGACTGGAGATGAGGAAGAGCTGTCAGCAGGGACACACGGAGCTTGGGAAGACGGAAGAGTAACCCCCACCTGCTCTTGTCCATGGAGCAGACTCCACATCTGGAGAGTACCTATGATTTTTTTTTTTGAGTTTTCCCTGACCCTGTTCTAGTGACCCCCTGGGAATGCTGGGGACCACATCTATGAAGCAATCTGTCTGAATACGTCTAGTAGTGGCTTCTATGTGGCAGGCATCATGCTGTGCTAGGCATGAGAATACAATGAATGAAACACTACCACTCCCCATGCCTGGTTCTACATACCACCAAGTAAATGGGTGTCGTGAGTTCCCTATATTGGAAACATAGACAAACATAATTGTGTTTCTCCATGATGTCAGAATTTATTAGATAACAATAAATTGACAAGTCATAGTGGTATCATTGACAGCAATTTGCCAAATAATATTGCTTTCCTTGATAGCCTCAATGACTAATATTAACTTTCAGATTACACATTACACATCACATAGTAAACGCGTACATAGTGTCTATGGATGTAAATAATTGTGTATGTAGGTTATTGGATGACTTAAGAGCCCTGAGAGAGCAGAGCTGGAATCTGATAGAAATGTAAAGTGGACTCAGTGGAGGTGAGGTAATGCACAAAGCCCAGGTCCAGAAGAATCTGAGGATGCAGGTTGCTGGCTGTAGAGTCAAGATGCAATGTCAGAATTGAGCTTCAGGGACCGGGTGAAGTGCAGGGCAGATCTGGGTCCACGGAGATGGATGGACAGCAGTTCCAGGCGGTGCACAGGTGGACAGGTGGATGGCAGTTTGAACAGGCCATGTCAGCAGTAGGAACTGGAGCTAAGCTGAAGCCTCTGGGACAGGCAGGAGTTCTCTTGCCTGCCCATCCCTTGACGCATGCGCTGGATGTCAGGTTATAGATTGTTGGGGCCATCATCCTCTCAGTGCCCAACTCTCTATGTGATCCAAGTGGGGAAGTTGTATCCTTTCCTTGGTCTGATGTGTTCGATAAGTTCTTGGGCCTGATTTTTGTGGTATGAATTTAATATCCCCAGGTACTCCTATACTCCCAATTTACTTCAATAAATGTATAGGGTCATACCCCTTGTACTCTCAAGAATAAGTCATTTATCAGTACTTGTCATGTTTAGTGCCATTCATGTGTCCACCCAGGGACAGAGTCATTCTCCATCCCCAAGATGGACTTGAAAGCTGCTTGTAAAATGGAGTCTTTTGGGGCAAGGCACCATCTGAAAAACCCAGTGTTTTAAGCAATCTGAGCAACTTAGGGCAGGGTACCAATGGGCAACATAGGACAGGGTACCACTGGGCAATGTAGGGCAGGGTATCACTGGGCAACATAGGGCAGGGTACCAGTGGGCATTGTAGGGCAGGGTACCAGTGGGCAGTGTAAGGCAGGGTACCAGGGGCAGTGTAGGGCAGGGTACCAGTGGGCAACGTAGGGCAGGGTACCAGTGGGCAATGTAGAACAGGGTACCAGTAAGCAATTAGGGCAAGGTACCAGTGGGCAGTGTAGGGCAGGGTACCAGTGGGCAATGCTCCAGTGTGGTAAATGCTTCTAAAGGAATGGAGACCGTCACCAGAGTCCAGAAGTGAGGAAACACGTCTCTGAGGAAAAACACCAAACTAATATTTTTTGCTTGTTTGTTTGTTTTGTTTTGTTTGGGGGAGGGCGCGGTTCGTGACTTTCATCCTTAGAGAGTCCATTGGAGCAAAAATACTTGGGAAGAACCGTTAATTTGCTTCATATTTTTTTTAAAAAACGTTTATTTCATTCTAATGTTAGCAAATTTGATTTACTTGGTCTGACCTTTTGTTGGTGGATTGCTTTCCCTGCTGTTCTGAATATACTATAAGTTACGTTTTAAAATTAAAAATCTGTAATCGCGTCGCTCAAATTCGTAGCCATTTAAGAATGTTTAAAATTTCAAGAAACAACCACAGAACCCTTAGCCTTGTATTTTTATCATCCACTGTGTATATGGGCATATACAGGCCGCACACGCTTGCGGCTTAATACAAAACAGATGCCTGTAAAGCAATTTACCCAGAATTTGTTTAAAATGTGTCTGTGCACCAGTTTACTTCCTGATTTGGAGCTGTGGTTTTATCAGACTTTTAGGGGAGGTGGGAGGAAGCCAGATAATGACGCATTACTTAGCTTTCATGTCTGTTTGCGGCCGTGGAGGCGCCTCGGAGGACTGAGTACCTTTTCATACTCTCTGTTCCTTCCTGTGAATCTGACATGGAAGTCTGCTGTCTCAGCCTTTTCTGTACAGAACCTCTAACAGCCGGCATTCATTTGTAGTCATGGTCTATCTCAACCATGCTTGTGTCTCCTTTCTTTTCGATGGGCTTTCTATATGTCATCCTAAATTTATATCGCTGCCCCTGTCTGTTCCCCAGACTCCATTTGTTCATTCCTAGTCTGGGCTTGGAGGTGGTCCTGGGCCATTTGACACTCACCATAACAAAACAAAGTGTGCCCCCTCCCCACCTTAGGACCAGACTTGTTCTTTTTGCATGCTTCCTCCTCTTAGTAGGTGACAGCCATGATCAGCCCCTCACAGGCCAAACCCCAGGTTTCTCTGTGACTCCATTCCCCATCAGCAGCGTTCCAGTGAAGCCTGTGGCAGTGTGGCCAACTCCTCCCACCTCTGTTACCAGTGGCCAAGGCATTGCCTGGGGTAGGGCAGCGCCTCTGCCCCGTGTGCTACACATGCATGCTTACCTTTGTACAGCTGTTCTGTGCACAGCTGTCAGAGCGATCCTTTGCGAACAGAAATCAGACCCATTTACTCCTTGGCTTGGAGCCTCGCAGAAAATAAAATTCCCAGCATAGCTGTAAAGTCCTGTGTGATCTAGCTACCTCTCTTCTGCCCTCTCCCATTTTAACTGCTTTCTTGGGCTCCATCAGCATTCTTTTTTTTTTAAAGATTTATTTATTTATTATGTATACAGCATGTATGACTACAGGTCAGAAGAGGGCACCAGATTCCATTACAGATGGTTGTGAGCCACCATGTGGTTGCTGGGAATTGAACTCAGGACCTCTGGAAGAGCAGTCAATGCTCTTAACCTCTGAGCCATCTCTCCAGCCCAAAGTGTAATTCTCACCCCCCCCCTCCTCTCCTGGGCTTCATATAAGGAACAGAGCATGCTCAAGAAAATCCTGCTGTATAAATGGAGGTGATGTAAATACCCTGTGAAGGGTCATTTGCTTCATGCCCCATAGCCTTGCGCTTTCTTCTCATCTCACCAGCTCACTCCTGTACTCAAGAGAGCATTCCCTTCCTTAATAAACTGTCCCTACTTTTCTTTCTAACCATGAGTCCCTGGAGCAGCCCTTTGTTCTGGAACACTAGAGCCTGGAACCAGCACCCTCTGAACTCAGATGGGCACCTACAACACTTTGGTCGCCAGTGAAGCCCAGGCTCGTTCCCATGGTCCCTGCCGCTCCCTGTTTCCACGCCACCTTATTCTGCTTCTTCACCGCTTTCTCTCATGTCCATGTCACAAAAACAGAGCTCTCACCTCAAAGGGAATCTGAGATTGTTTATTCTAGAGTCAAATATGAGCAGCCACGGCATGGAAACACAGATTTAAGTCACCCCAAATTCCATGTCCCAATGTTGAAACAGTTTCGTGCGGCTTTTATAGTAACAGAACAAAGTAATAAATCAAGAAATTAAAAAAAAAATAGATTGGTGGGAACACTAGAGAGAAGGTTACTGCCATGGTGGAGAAATCGCAGGTATAGGCCTCGGATGGATGCTATCTGGTAGCGTTCTTAGCCCTTTGATTGGTGGAGAACGGGGTTTTGCTAGGTTAATCTATTCCAGAGGTTTTATCTGTTTATTAGCATGTTAGGTGTGACAGCAGGGTGGGCCAGGAATGCCTCTTTAGGAGGCTAGGCATCGCCTGAGCGGAAATTGTACTTGGGCTCTGGACCTGCAGCATTCCAACCTCCTCACATCACTGAAGTTCTAGTAGTCAGTCAATCTGCCTTTGCAGACTCTGCTTCTCTCCAGGAATTCTTCACATCCATTCACTTTACGTTCTCTCCTTGTCACCTTCCCCACAAGTGATGACATCTCCATCTTAGGGCTTTCTTCTTTTTGTGTGGAGTTTAAGTTCTGTGAGAGCAGGGACCTTGATTTTCCTTCCTAATGTCTGTGTGGGTATTGTCTTGTGTCAGGGTCTCAGACTAGTGATTCAAGCCCAGAGTTCCTCACACATTCTTCGTGGCCCCTGACACATTGCATTACCTCCTGCACAAACAAGTGTTTAAAGCTCCTTGTGTGTGGTGTTTTTCTTTCTTCCTTTCCTTATCTTTCCAAAGGGCACAGGTACACGCCACAGGCCCGGCGAGGGGCTCTATGTGTCCAGTACATGCTGTGGCCACATGGAGCAACTTCTTGTCCTCTTTGTGGTCTGTGGGCAGCTTGGATCACAAATGCCCTCAGGGTGCACTTCACTCTGCAGGAATAAAAACAAACATGTTCTGTATTCCTCAGATAAAGGGGCCTTGGACCAGGCAGGCAGTCTGAAAAACATCAGTGCCACAGGAGCCTAGTCTTTTAATGAGTAGCTTACTTGTATTTTGAATTTCGAACATTTCATGGAATGGAAGAACATGGGTGTGTGTGGGGGGGGCGGGGGTTAGACTGCAGTTAATGGTTTCCATGCTCCCTGAAGCTGTGAGTTTCTCCTGGGTTGGGGCGTGTGTATCTGAAAAGTTCTTTTAAAGTTGCACAGCATCCGTGCTTGGGGAGACCCTTCCAAGCAGTCCCTAAAAAAAAAAAACGCAAGCCTTGGTGAGTGCCTGTGAGATTCCTCAAGTGGACGTCTAACAAGGGCCCCTCTTGTTTCCACAGGTGATCTGCAACTCATTCACCATCTGCAATGCGGAGATGCAGGAGGTTGGCGTTGGCCTGTACCCCAGGTATGGCAGACATCCCAAACCAACTAACTCCCGTCCAGCTCTCCAGCCTTTTGGAGGTCATTAGAAAGGGTTTTGTAGCAGCTAGCTCCATTGCCAAACTCAAAACTTAGTAGTGAATTACAAGAGGCTGTAAAAATGTTAAGTCTTATAACCCATGTTATATAGTATGCTATTAAGACGCGGTAGACTTCATGTTTAACCACTTGTTCTCAGGCAGACTTTGGGACAGGCTGATGCTTACAGGCCCTGGAATTGAGTTATCCTTACAAATCTCCCCTGAACTTTTCCTTAGCCTCCTGTATTGAAGCACACCGTTATCCCACCAGACTGGCAGCATGGTACCAATAGGCCTGCCAACTTTGACTTTGGCGGTAGTGTGCTTTCCACCCACCGCTAGAGGAGGTTCAGGAGCCTTCAGGGGTAGCCTGCTGTAGTGTTCCTTAGCCCTCACTATGGCAGCCTTTGTCCCTGAACTCCTAGATGGCGTGTAGCCCAGGACTAGAACCACCCTGACGTTCATTCTCTCTTTATGCTTCAAGGGTTCAAGCATAGTGTTCCCTCTAAGCAATGCATCTGAGACTCAGCCTCCTCACTCATGCCCACACATGTCATTGGTTGCAGGTCAGGTCTGTTCATAGCACAGGTATCAAAATCAACAATGTAGGGGGCTTCAGAGCATGGGCTCTGAGTTCAGGACGCCTGGTTCCAGTTCAGTCACAGTTCAATTGCACATCCTTGGATAAGCCCTTTCATTCTTAGGCCTTGGTCTCTTCACCTGTAAATGATCCTCACAAGGTTGTTGTGGTAGCTGAATTTGGTCACCCTGCTCCAGCACTGAGCAAGTACTTCCAACACATGTTGGAAGTACATGTTCGTCCTAATCACTGTCAGTTCATAGCGTAAAGTCATTGCATTTCCCATGTGAAACCTCCAGGAAAATAAAGTGATGAGGCTCCTTCCCAGAATGCATCAGGACCTACTGACAGCATGTAGCCCTGATTACTCTTCAGCATGAGCATCTAGCAGAGGCACAGCCCTCCCCTACCAGAGCTCAGCAGTGAGACCCTCTGTGGGTCAGTGGCACCTCGGGTGACTCTTGTGATTGCTATTAGCTCGGATAGGATCTCTTTACAGGTTACTTTGTCAGTACCACCTTCATTTGGGTTCCCTTATCATGTGATATCTAATGTGACCCATCCCCCAAAAGGACCCAAACATGATTCTATTATCAAGCTTCCCTAATTAGCCTCTATTACGAGAAGCATTTGACTTCGTATGAAGCAGGATATGGGGCATGCCTATGAATGCTCCCAGAGCCCAATCCCGTTTCCTCTCCATCAAACCCATCTTAGATGCCCCCGCTAAAGTGATGTTTGAGTGTTGTTCCCATTTTATGTAGCTGCTGAACTCTGAGCATTGATGATCCCCTCCCCTTTTCTCTTTCCTTTAGTATGTCTTTGCTGAATCACAGCTGTGACCCCAACTGCTCAATTGTGTTCAACGGGCCCCACCTCTTACTGCGTGCAGTGCGGGAAATCGAGGCAGGAGAGGAGGTAAGGAAACCCACGCCTGCCACTGACTGCCCTCCCTGCTCATCAGCACCCTGCTCAGTATGGCCCCTTCCTACAACCAGCTACAACGAGCTCCTTGCTGTCCTGCCACCAAGAAGACGCTTGGAACAGTCACACACAAAGCTGTGGATGAATCTATGCATAGGCTTTGGTCTTGGTCGCTGGGTTTTCTGCATGATAATCCTCTGACATGTATTTGAGAGATGTTCTTTTGTGACAGAGCCTGTGTGTTTATGCACATGCATGGAAGTCATTAAATCTCATTGACAACGAACAACCATTCTTCCATGAGTAGAGAAGCAACCCAACTTGTCAGTAGTATCCCCAGGGCTTACCCACAAAGCCACTAAGCACATTTTGAAGATACTTGAAATTCTGTATTAAGAAAATAGACATGATTTATTCTTTCAGGCCTTTGCCATTGGGGTTTTGTAAACCCCTTAGCATTTCTGGGTGATTGTTTCAACAAAGATACAGGGTCAAACAGGCCTTACTAATGTGGCTTTGTGGAGATGGGCAAGCCAGCTTCTTAGGTGAGGGACCTTTCCAGAAGCCTGAGATCTCACAGGCAACTACAAACAGGCTGCTGGGCCACACGGAGTGAGTCTGTGTGGAGTTCTTACGGCCACCACCCATGCTGAGCTCTGGTATTAGTCATGTTTTCCAGAACTCCATTTCCTCCTGCCTTCCAATTTGCTAAAGTGGATCTTTACTGCAAGGAAAATGGAGGGCCATAAGCTTTTATGGCATTTATGCATCCCTCCTCCAAATAAAGCCCTAACTTAGAGGTACCATATTTTATACAGACAGATTTGATCCTGACAAGACTCCCTCCAAACGTATTTCCAACCAAGTACGCTGCCTCTTACACGGTACCTTTTGCTGAATTTCCAGCCTGGGACCAGTGTGCCCGGGGATAGCTGCTGAGGCTGTGGGGACAGCGATTGTGTCTGGCCTCTTCGCTGTCTCCCAGGGCTTGCTTCACACCTGGGAAGTATCTGACACCCTTGAATTGATTCTATTGGTTGAGCTGACTGAGACCAGCAGCATTTCTCTCCAGGGCGTCGGGTGGACTACCTCATCATTCTGTGGGACTGTGGATCATCAAGAAGACTGTCTCTAGGCCCTGCCCAGTTAATGCTGTGTGGCTATGACCAATCAAAATGTATCCTGAACCTTTAAAACTGACCCCATGGACCAGAGGCACGTGGGGGTTGGGGGTACAGAAGACATTTTGAGGCTATGGCTAAGAGGGCTAATCCTACTTGTTGTCAGATGTGAGCTTTAGCTAAGTTGATAACAAGAGTAATCCAACGTCGGTGGTTCTTTGGTATCAAGTTTGCAGTTTGGCTTTGCTGCTCACTAGACTCCTCAGTTTTGATGTGGACCAGGTGGGATATGAGTATCAGGATATAAGCCCAAGGAAGAGAGACTAAAAAGTGCCTGAAATAGAAGATTTTGTTTTGTTTTGTTTGAGACAGGGTTTCTCTGTGTAGCTTTGCGCCTTTCCTGGAACTCACTCTGTAGCTCAGGGTGGCCTCGAACTCACAGAGATCTTCCTGCCTCTGCCTCCTGAGTGCTGGGATTAAAGGTATGTGCCACCACCGCCTGGCTAGAAGATTCTTAAGTGTGTGTGTGTGTGTGTGTGTGTGTGTGAGAGAGAGAGAGAGAGAGAGAGAGAGAGAGAGAGAGAGAGAGAGAGAGAGAGAGAGTTTTCTGTTTCTATAGTGCCAGGGATCAAACTCGGGGCCTTGCGCTTGCTGGGGAGCACTCTGTCATTAAGCTACCTCATAGCTGTGTTTCTGTTTATTGAACGAGACTTCCTGAAGGTAAAACAGAGGGTGCGTGGTGCTGTGGAGCCACTTTTTAGCTGCCAGATGTCTTTAGGTATGTCACACGGCTCCAGGAAGAAACCTCAGGGTGGGAGCATTTCAGTCCACCCACAAGGAGAGCTGGAAAATGGTAGAAACTTTCACAGTAACAGACTTTACCTTAGAAATAACCTGCCTTGGGTTTCTCTCCGCATCAAACCACCCTGTGGGTCACCTTTGGACCCTCGCCCTTCAAACTAGCACCATTTCCATCCTTCTGCAGTGGAAGGAATTTGGAGGTCATGGGAGTCGTTGAGACTTTTCTTTTGGTTCTGGCAGTTTAAGGTTCTCACCCAGCTACTTCCTACAGAGATGTGTTCGTGATCGGCCCCACATCCCCCTGCTCACCTGTCATGACGTGTGAGCTGGCCCTTCAGAATTGCTTAGGCTGTGGAGCCCTCGGTAATCTGATAGTCTTACAGAACACGGATCAGCCAGACAGCCTGGGTACCCTCACGTGAAGTCCTGGTTAAAAGAACTTGGAGCTGTTGTAACGAACGCATCGGTTCCGAGTCTTCTGGGACCTCATCACCTGGGAGGGTTGTGATTTGCATGAATTGAGCGTATCTCTATCCCTAATATTTTTGTCTTAAGTGTTTAGAGATTAGGGAGGTCTGGTTCTTCGTTCAGTAATCTGTGTTTGCTAAAGCATGTAACAAATTTACAGAGGGCTTGCTGGGTGATGGGAGCTGGGTGGCCGTTCTGGAAGCTCTGAGGAATACCTCTACCAGAATGGCCTTGTCACGAGGAGGAAGGGGACACAGAACAGAAGGCAGTAACAGGATGAGAAGTTTGGTGACATAAACATGCACAGGGCTTTGTGGACACTCAGAGCAGAGCACCGGGGCAGATTAAGGTGCCAGGCTTGGGGGACAGTTAACTAAGGTGTCTAGAGAAGTGGCCGGTAGATCCAAAAAGATCTATAAAGATAACGTCAGGTGAAGCAGGAACTCGTATTCTAGGCAAGGAGACAGAACCCAGGGGCTGAGTGGAGAGTTTGGTAAGCAAGAGTGATTCATAGCAATAGACTGAAGAGTCCGTTGCAACCAGGAATGGAGACTATGTAGGGGCTAGACCAATGTCTTGGGCTTTTATACAGAATGCTGTTCACCTGAGGATTTCCTAACAGTGTCTGCTAGTGGGAGGCTATTAGTAAATATCTCCAGAGGGGAGAGGGCCAGGCAGTGGGCCATCCTTGACATTTAGGAGAAGGATGGTGTGACAGGATTTTATGTGTAGACAAGATTGAGAGAATGAGGGTCAGGCCATTCCTCCAGGTAAGAGCTGACAATGACTGTCTGAAGTCAGGAGGAGGCCCAGTGGTGACTCGGAATAGAGGATGTGAAGAATACAATATTTAGAAGCCAAAATTAATAGAAATATTAATTAATTAATAGATTAATTAATTTAAAATTAGTAGAATTTATATGACAAAGAGAAGGGACAGAAGTGACCTTGAGGGTTGACTTTAAAAAGAAGTGAATTTTTTTTTGGTCTTTTTTTTTTTTTTCAGTTCAGAGCCAGTATTGGAAAAATGTGTAACTGTGACAATATATTGCAGAAATGAAGACAAGATTTGGTTTTATTCTGCACTCCACTGTTGATGGGAAAAGATAGTTTTAGAGAAAAAGGTTTTCTCTGCCTTGTGATTTGAGCAGAGGCACCATCATCAAGTTCCAGAAACCTCTGTGATATTACTCTAAAGCTAGAAATGATTTATGCATTTTTCCATGAGAGTTCCCCTTAAATGGCAGAGCAGTGGTCAGAGCATTAGTATTTTAATGCGGTTTTGTTCTCCGCCATTACAGCCTCAGTTGATCAATGGCCAAGTTTTGTATGTATGTGCCCACTAAATGAGCCCTACATGGAGTGAGCTGTGACTCCATTTAAACTTGAGAATCTACGAGCCCTTAATAAAGGTTTTTATCTGTGGCTGATAAAGTGATCGAGTTGCTGTTTCAATCTGGCTGCGTGCTTCTGGAATGTTTTTGCCTCTGAGCAGCCCCTCAGCTTTGGTACACAGTACAGTTTGCAAACGTCGGTGGCAAGAGGCACAAAGCGGATAATGAGTCTAGGAGGGAGGGGGCACTTTTAAGCCAATCATGAAGGGTGAGGGTGAGGAAACGGCACCGATGTAGGAAGCAGGGCAGACTCGCAGTGGTGACCTACATTTCAGAGACAGAGCTGTTCGGTCAAGACAGGCAGGCTGTGGGGCACAGGAGAAGACATCTGAGGCTAGGAAGTAGACCTACAATTAGTGTAGGGGGAAAAAAAGCTTGTGTGGCTCCATTCTGTAGGCAGTGAGAGGCGGTCTAAGGTCTTCATGTAAAGGAATGACGCAATCAGATGTGTTAGGGAGCTCTCTCTCTCTCTCTCTCTCTCTCTCTCTCTCTCTCTCTCTCTCTCTTAGCAGTTTAGAAGGTGAAAGGTAGAGAAGGCAATGGGGGGTGGGCAGTTAGAAAACCATCGCTGAGGTTGGGCTCAGGCACTTGCAGGCTACCCAGAAAGACTTCGAGAATCTGTTTATTGGGGTTAAATGAAACAACTGGTCTCCCATTATCCGCTCACTGCCTAGCATGACCACTCATGAGTTTTAGCCCTCATAGTGCCGTTTTGTGGTCAGACACTGTGGAGTTGGTGACTTCACAGTAGCTTGTGATTACCCAAGAAGTTCCGCCATGTGCCTGACCTGATAGCCAGGCTACTGACTCAGGGTTGGACTGGAGTGAGAAACAGGGTTCTAGAATGAATTCTGGAGAGAGCATGCCATCAGCTACTGTACCCCCTCACCTGTATAAGAAGCCAGGACCAGAGAGCCTGGATACACGATGAGTATATGTTCCCAAACTTCCCAATAAGATGTTCCAGGATATATACTTAGAGACGGGTTGCTTGAACTGTGGAACATGGTGTTCTCTGGGAATCATGGGAACTTGCCTGACACCATAGCCCTGTCACCCCTGAGATACCCCTGCCTTTAGGTCAAAATGCAGGAGAAAGATGGAGGAAATGGAAAATGACCATAGCCTTGGCTTGAGGGAGCTCAGTTACCACCACTGCTCTGCCCTGCTTATACTCTGTAAGTCCACCGGTGGGGGCTGTAGTGGCTCCTTCTGGTGTTAGGCTCCACTGCCACCCCAGAAGGGCGCCACTGTCCACATGAAGGAGCCTCAGGTTTGCGTCAGTCCTTTTCTGGTTTTCAGTGTTACACACTCTTACGGGAGTGCCACACTCCCAGATGTTCAGCAAGAGCAGGTCTGTCCCCTTGGGGCGGGCACTCCTTCTTGTGTGGAAGGCAGCTCACTGTAGCTTTCTAACATGCAAAGACCCTAAAATGAGCCAGCGAGTCAGCCCAGCCCGTGCCTTCCTTCTGTCACCCTGGTGACAGCGTGGAGTTGACAGATATGGCTGACCAGGCTTCCTCCTCCTCATGGAGCTTTCAGGAGGCTGCCTTGGAGTTGTTTTCTGTCAGAGGTCTTCGGCACCCTACCTTGACTTCAAACAAGTAAAATCATGTCAGTAGACATGTGATACTTTGTTTTCAGTAGAAGGAAAACCACATGGAGTGTTTGCTTGAGGGAGGTTTGTCAAGTCCTCCAGCAGATAATCCTGCCTTCCTCTCCTACGGGGTCTCCCTCTTCCCCCACCACCCAGACCCTCACAATTACCTCCTGCATTTGAGAGCGGATAAATAAGTCATTTATCCAGTACGGTACAAGCTGATATACATTACAAGAAGAAAACCAACCCAGACAAGGGGGGAGGGGAGGGGAGGGGAGGGGAGGGGAGGAGCATTGGGTGTGGTGGGAACTGAGCTGTTGTTTTAAATAGGCTGCGGGTTAGGATCCTTGAGAAAATGGGATTGGATTGAAACCCAGGAGGACCAGGAGGCCACCTTGGTGGATGTGGGAGAACTCAGGCCTGAAGTGGGAATATGAAGGGACAGCCAAAAGGCCAGACTAGCTAGAGCAGCAGGAGCCCAGGGAAAGGGGAGGGCAGCATCGGAGGAGGAGCCATGCATTCAGGGAGGGCGTGGAGCAGTGTGGGTTAAGGTGTTGCTTCTCTATCCCCGGTGATGAACGACTCTTATTTCACTGGGGTCATCACAGACTAATATTCTTACAAAATTAGAAAAATGAAAATTTAGAGACAGTAAAACACCACCACCAACAATTTTTATCATTAGAATATCACACACACACACACACACACACCCCACAATCTTACCAAAGTGGTAAACAAGTTTCTAAACGAGGACTTTGTGTTTTCTTCCCCATTTCGGCATAGACTAGAGCCCACAGGGTCCAGGGGCCACGTTTAGGTTGCACCGTGAGGTCTTGGCTCTCCTCAGACAAAAGGGGGCGCTGCTGCAGTATTTCAGACCGAAGAAAGCCTGTCTGACTTCACTTGCGGTGCCGGCTAGATGGTAGAATGCAGGGAGATTCCTTCTCGGAGAGAAGGGGGAGCCATGTGACAGGGTGGCAGCCCAGGTCCAGATGTGACACTGGGAATGCTTGAAAGTGGTCGGTTCTGGATGTATTTTTGATGGAGATCTAACAGAACTTCCCAGTGGGTTTGGATGGTTGAGTCAAGGGAGACTCCAAGGGTTCAGTCTGGACAGCATGAAATAGGAGCTACTGCCTGCCTGCCCTTTCCCAAGTAGGGAGGCTGTGCAGGGAGCTGGTGTGTGTGTGTGTGTGTGTGTGTGTGTGTGTGTGTGTGTGTGTGTGTGTGTGTGTGTGTGTGTAGTAGGAGTTCTGTTCTGATGTTGTGAATTTGAGTTCTGTGTGTTGGGGATTCAGTCAAGTGGAAATACCTGTTCAGTTTTTTAAAAGGAAAAACTAAGCAACAAGTGACAGAGTCTCTCCTTATTTCAAAACTGTCAAATATAGATGGCCCTAAATTCCAGGAAACAGCTCTACCACCAACCAGTATGTAAAGCCAATCTGGCTCTGTCATCTGCCGCTCATTGGTTCGCCAGAGAGAATTTGGCTTCTCTGATTACCAATGGTCATCGAATTTATGGCCAAACCTTAGTGATCCCACACATGAAATAACTCCTGATGTTTTACTATTTAATGGAAGGGGGAAAAATCAAAGATAAAATATGAAGCTGTGTCGAGGTTATAAACCGAGTTCTTTAAACTAGATCTGTAATGTCTGTGTGCTTACGCTGAGCCAGACAAGAAGAAAACATGTTACAATCGCTTGGGGAAGAGGCTGTTGGTGATGCCTTCTCTCCTGTTCCTTGTTGATGTCTTACTCTGAGAATTAACAGCGGTAATAACTGTAGAAGAAAATGAGCACACCAGCCATGCGAGCCTTTCCCTCTCTGTCCTCCCCACAGCTCACCATCTGCTACCTGGACATGTTGATGACCAGCGAGGAACGCCAGAAGCAGCTGAGGGACCAGTACTGCTTTGAGTGCGACTGTATCCGATGCCAAACCCAGGACAAGGTATGTGGCATGAAGGCAGATTGCAACCTTCCAGGGTGGCTTCTGCAAGGTCTTTTGGGGACCTCTGCTGCTGGTCCCACCACTCTGAAGAGCATTAGGAAGTAGAAAAGAGTGCAAGCTGCAGTCTTTATTTCCTGGGACCTTTGACCCCGCCCAGGTGAGACTTAAGACCTATGGGACTTAAAGTATCATGGGAATACAGATGTTAAACATGTGGCATTAAACATGTAATTAAAAGGCTATGAAAGGCCAGAGGGCTGTGAGAGCATACAGTAAGAGGCTGAATTATGTTATGATTGATAACAGTTATTGCTCAGCAGTAAACATACCAAGGAGTATTTTGTCTTTAGTTCTCTTAAATTCATTCCATAAGGCTCTCCTTTGCAAACTTTATCAGATGGGGCTCACTTATCTCAAAACTCTTACTCTCCGAGGAAGGAAGAAGAGCCAAAATAAATGCCATGAAGATAATAAACTGCTCTCCAATTACTCATCTATTGTCCTCATTTTGAACCTATTTACTTTGGTTTGCACGCAATCAGGTTATCTGATAGAATCTCACTTCTGTAGGGTGTTTACATTGTTAGATGTATTTTGTGATCATTATCTCATTTAATGTCAATACTTCTAAATAAATTGGGAAGCCAAACTCAGACAGGTTCAGAGCTATGCCTCTGAGTGAGATGTTATAAGGAAAAAGCGACAGTACCAGGTCTCCCATCCAGCTCTGCTGGCTCAACCAAGTTATCCCTGCACTGCCCTGGGGCCATCTCCTGGGGTTTCTGTCATCACTGCTGGAGAGGTGATTGTTCTTCCTTCTTGAGAAAGGACCATGAGCCCATTTGAGTACTGGAATCAGCAGATGTAAGAGGGCTTGCATTAAAAGGAACTTTAAGAACTAGGAGAGGTGGCACACGATTTTAATCCAGAACTCGGAAGGCAGAGTCGGGTGGACCTCTGTGAGTTCAAGGCCAGCCTGGTCTACAGAGTGAGTTCCAAGTCAGCCAGAGCTAAACAGTGAGACCCTGTCTCAAAGAAAAGAAAGAAGAAGGAATTAAGTAGGAAAAGTTGGATCTCCTGCATAGATAGCACCAAGATCCAGTCCACGTTAGTGTTGTCATGCCGGAGTCATATGGAACCCCCTCAGACGCCCCCTCCTCTAGCAGACTGTGCTCTGGAGTGGATCCAGTCTGGTTTCCCCACAGCCCTTAGTTGGCAATGGGAAGCTTAATTCCTCTTTGAAATCTTCCTGAATAGGTCCAGCGAATGACCCAGTAGGTAAAGATGACTGCAGCCAAGCCTGACAATCTGAGTTTTGTCCTCAAGAGCCACGCGCTAAAAGGAGAGGACAAGCACACACACTGTCCTCTGCCCTTTGCATACCCATCCACACACAGTAAATAAATAAAATTCAAAACTATGTCTAAAAGAAAAGAGTCCTTGAATGAATGCATGAATGAAGTGTTTCATTTGAGATCAGTTTGTGTTCACAATTGCTGTATTGTAACTATAATGGTTAGGAAATGGTTCACCCACAAATACAGATAAACAAAACTGTTTTTGATAGGTGAGGTCTGTTAGAAGTAATTCTGGAGAAGTAATCCAAGGAGTTACTCATTGATCTTACCGTAACTCCACAAGCCATAAATCTGTTTGTTTGTTTGTTTTCTTTTTGTGTCTTGGGACATTGAACCCAGAGCCTTGTACATGCTAAACAAATGCTCAGCTGCATTTTTAATGTTTATTAATTTGTTCATTTTCATTTTTACTGTGACACAGGATCTCACAAAGTTACCAAAGCATGGTCCTCCTGCCTCAGCTTTCTGAGTAGCTGTGATTACAGGCCTGCACCATCAGACTGAGTTCTTGTGGTAATTTTAATGAGAATGGCCCCAGTAGGCTCAGATATTTGAATATTTGGTGCCAGCTGAGTGGAACTGTTTGGGAAGGATTAAGAGGTGTTGTCTTGTTGAAGTAGGTGTGGCCCTGTGGGAGGGGCTGTGTTGCACTAGGTGGACTTAGAGGTCTCAAAAGCACACACTAGACCCATTGGCTTGCTCTCTGTCTGCATCTTACACATCAGATATGAGCTCTCATCTGCTGCTCCAGTGCCGTGCCTGCTACCTGCTTACCACCATGCTCTTCACCAGGATGTTCATGACCTAATCCTCTGACACTGCCAACTACATGCTTCCTTTTATAACTTGCCTTGGCCATGGTGTTTCAGCACAGCAATGGAGCAGTAACTAAGATAGTTCCCAAGGCATTTCTTCTTCTGTAGCAATTCCTCACATGTGGCTTTTGTCCTCCTGTTCCCAAGATGGCTGCTGTCCCCAGCACCTACGCGTTGTGTTCAAGCTCAAGACAGGGAAAAGAAGGGACTGTAGAGGCCAAGAAGCAAGGTGGCCTCTCAGAGGGATGTGGACTTATACTTCATTGTCAAAAGCTGTGTTCCATGGCCACCTGTAGCTGCAAAAGAGGCTGGAACATTGTATTTTAGCTTTTCACTCTTGGAGAAGAGGAGCATGAATGGCTTTGGGTAACCAATCCACAATACCTGCCTCCCATTCCGACCATTTCACTCTCTTATTCTGTTGAACTAAAAGTTTATTAGAGAAACTGTGGTGTGTGTGTGTGTGTGTGTGTGTGTGTGTGTGTGTGTGTGTGTGTGTATGTGTGCGTGCGCACGTTCACGCTCATCAAGGGTGTGCTGATGCCATGCAGGATGGCCAGCCTCACTTCCTGAATGCGCTGGCTGTGCCTCCTAACTGGGGCATCTGGGCATCTGGGCAGGGGCAGCAGGATGAAGCCGTGCTTGTTCAGGAGAGAAAGCAGTATTAGGTTTAAGAAGTTGTATTCAAAGGGAAGCAGACGTTTCTGCCCAAGGATGTTATTCTAGTAACCCAAGTCCACGTGACATGTGAGCAATTACTTAAAAGTCATTAGTAAACCAAGGTATTTTTTTCCTGTTGCCTTCCCCTATTTTGCTAAGTTAATTATGAGCAGAACTGCCTCGTGGCAAGATGGTCAGGCCAAACAGTTCCGAATTGTTTTACTTTTCAAGTTTTAACAATCTAAGCAGAATGTGTTTCCTGTTTCTAAAGTTTTCATCATAGGCAAGGTATGTTATCTTCAGGAAGATTTGAGGGATGTAGCAGAGAGAGAAGAATGTGTGTGTGTGTGTGTGTGTGTGTATGTGTGTGTGTGTGTATGTGTGTGTGTGTGTACATGTGTGTGCATGTTTCCATTGGATGAGTTCTTTAGGAAGTGAAACGTCTACCTCTTGCTTCTCTGATTTTAAATTACATTTTCATTTATTTGAGGGGGCACACATGTGGAGGGCCAGAGGATAACTTGAGGAAGTTAGTTTTTTTTCTTCCACCATGTGGGCTGGGATCGAACTCAGGTCCTCGGTCTTGGGAACACACACCTTTATCCACTGACCCATCTTGCTGGCCTCTTGTTTTTTTTTAATAAGCAGAGGGATGGGCTTCTCAGGAATGGATGCGGGGATGGCTGGTGTTCATGTTAAAGCAGGGAAAATGGTTATTGAGTTTGTAACCCTAACTCCTGTCTGCTGGGGTGCCATGAAGCACTGGGTGACATCTAAGCATGGGTGACATCTAAGCATGGATGACACCATGGACCTTGCCTGGGAAGTCATTAGTGTGACCTTTGCATTTGTTGTAGAATAGGCTGCCCCTGCATCACAGTGTTGGATGCTTCAATGTTTCTTTCTCTAAGCAGACCCATAGGTGTCTTCTTGCAGTTTAGCTGGGTCCCAGAATGCACCTTGCATTTAATCCATGGTGACACAAATACCATCTTATAACCTTCCCAGTTTCTGCAAGTATCTACTGGCTTTGAGTCTACTCCAAGGATGTCCAACCTCTGGCTTCTCTGGACCACACTGGACAAGAGCTGTCTTGGACCGTACCTTAACATGAAGTCCCCAGTCTAACATTCAGCAACCACAGCTAGTGTGATACAGAGAATATGTTTTCTATGAACCAGTCATTATACTTAGTTAGCCCAGTACACCGCCCACAGCTGTATGTGAGAAACATTGTAAAGAACATCCTCTCTAGAGAGCATGATGAATTAGAACAGCTGCTGAAGTTTTGATAGCACCCATGACCTTCTTCAAGGTGGTTGACTGAGTTCCTTATATGCCATGTCTTGTCTAATTTCCACAGCTCATGTAAGCTGTGGCTACTCTAGTCCCATTCAGTAGGTGAGGTAATGGGGCTCTCGAGAGTATGTACGGCCTTTTCTAGTCTATTGTGCCGTTTCTATAGATCTGTAATAGATATACCACCCATGTGTTTTTTTAATTGAATGTAGTTAGTGTTTAGTAAAGTCCCCCCTTTTACTGTCCAGTTCTGACAAATGCATGAAGTTAGTACCACCACCCTTTAAGGGTATGCCTCCACTATACACTCCTCAAAATTCCCTCATTTGGCTCGATTGCTCATATTCATGCTTGATTCCAGCTGGGTACCCTGTGACATTTTAATGCATGTATGCTCTGTGTAGTCGGGCGCAGTGTATTTATCTCCTCAGTGTTCCAGTTTGCTTTCTGTTGTTGTGATAAAACACTAGTCAAAACCCACACAGGGAAGAGGGGTTTTATTTCATCTTACAACTCCCAGGTCCTACTCCATCACTGAAGGAAGTCAGGACAGGAACCCAAAGCAGGAACCTAGAGACAGGAACCGAAGCAGAGGCTATGGAGGAACACTGCTTACTGGCTTGCCCCTGATGGCTTGCTCAGCTACTTTTCTTATATAGCCCAGGCCCACCTGCCTGGGGGTGGTACCCAGAGAAGGCTGGGCCTTCCTTCATCAATCAGCAATTAGGAAGATACCCCACACACATGCATATTCACAGGCTATTCTGATACAGGCAGTTCACTTGAGATTTCCTCTCCTCAGTGTGTCTAGTTGACAGAAAGTAACAATGGCAGTCATTTTATGACAAAACACTTAAGATCCTTTCTT